ATCAAAACCAAATAATTACAATGCCTAGTCACGACAACAGGAATAGAGCAACAGAGTCAACTGAAAACACTTCGAGAACTCAAAGACATCGCGGTCCTTGTTTCGTTATAATTACCTATATTCTGTTTAGCAGACATTTCTTTTAAGGATTCTTTTGATTGGAAAAACGGAAAAAAAGGCAGTATATTTGACAAAAATAGTTCCTTTAGTTAAAAGGATTTGGTAAAATGTTCAATATTTGTGTTACATGTCGGTAAACGAAACTTGTCTGAAACGTTAATTTAGAAATGCTTCAGATATTAATAACTTGGTTGTTTTTTTTTACCTGTCAAAACATTTAATCACTTTGCGTTTTAAGATTATAGAATATCCAAAATATTTTCTTAGAAATGAAGGCAGGCGAAAAAAGCTCGTTAATGAAAAAATGTTTTGTTATGGAAATATTTATAATAGTATGTGCCTAAATATGACATCTTGCAAAGAAAACACTCACAATTTACTACTGCTCATATCGTCAAAGTTGCAGGTTTAATTTTATTTCTTGAAGACAATTCCCATTGAGAAACGTTGCTTTTCGTTTCAATTTGCAAGTCCATTTCCAAGTTTTTCACTTTCATTCGTCACCATAACAACTAACATTTCCCCTTAAACGTCCATCTCGTTAGCTTTACCACTTTACCGCCATTAGCCGTTGCCTATTATTATTATTATTATTATTATTATTATTATTATCATTATTATTATTTCTTGCAAGTTCCTCCAAGACAATTTTATTTTAAAATATCCAAGATTGAGGAAAATTGCTCAGTACAAACTTAACTGAAATATTTAGGCTGAATTCTTCAAGATGCCCTATGGATCAAGTGCCATAATAACGTGTGTAACCAGTTTACCTAAATTTGTTTCAGTTAAATAATGTCTGGATTCTCTCAGTTCAGATATGAATATTTATTGCTCTTCCGTAAAACGGAACCACCACTGATGTTTAAGTCACCTTGGCTAACATCCATGGGTCTTTATTCGTCCCTTGTGTTCTCCATGATTGTTACTTTACTCTGGGGACGGGGGAGGAGTGATATGGAGCATGTGTGGGTGTCCGTGTGATATCGGAGAACGCTTGGCAGTTGTTACGAGATAAAAAAAATTTAGGCTGAATAATATAGCATCGCATTAGATTATCACCTGCTTGGACCATAAACAATTTGTTATTCAAGATGTTTGCGTACGTGTGAAGTGGTGGAGGAATCCTTTTAGTAAAGCAAACGATAAACAGTTTATTTGAAAGCGCTGTGGTGCTAACTTGTAATTTTGAAAAGGAATTGAAAGAGACATAAATATTGTTGTTTTGCTAAAATGAAATTAAGAGCCAGTGAATCCGAGCAGTATTCAAACACTTTGACTCAACGAAACTTTCAACCACGTCTTATGCTTTATTTTATCAAAGGAATTTCAATGATAATAAAAGAAGAAAACTGATCTCAAAACCTTTTCGAATCCTTAAATTCATTCCCTCAAAAGATGTAATTATTTAGCCTTCCAAGTTGTATGAATTTGCAGCTGGTCGTTATATTGTAACTGAGTGAGCGCTCATAAATTACGCTCAAATCATCAGCAGCAAAGTCTCAAAATATGAAACTTCGATTTCAGGTGAATAAAAACGGCACAGTGTGTCAGAGTTCTGTGTGTCTCAATTTAACAACTTTTAAGCCCAATATACTCGCGTTGTCACGAAGTTTTCATGGCAACTGATTCATCTCTGAAGAACACGCACCTTAATTGCTGTCGTTAAATTAAAAAAGAAAACGCTGGTACAAAACGCCAGTTTCTGGCAGCATTGTTCCAAACAGAAAAGCCCCTGATAGAGATCGTTATACGCTTCAGTACTTTACGTTCACTGTCTAATGCTGAGTGCTTCAAAAGGTGACGGGATTTTTTCCCTATATTCCTAGATCACCGTGGAGGTAGCGCAGTCTCTCATCCAGTTACTTCACGTTAATGAAACTTGACATATGCCCCATTTTCCCTGGCAATCAGTTTTTCATCGTTATTTTTTGTTAGACTCAGACGCGCTAACATGGACGAGGCAGAAAGACATCCAAAGGGACGGTAAGTCAGTACTCCGTATCAGCACGTAATGTTTGTTTCAAAAAAATGTTTTGAAATGTTATTAACTGGTAATTTTAACGGGACCTTGCGGAGTACAATTTATGGAGTACAGGGGGAGTGATTAAATCGGACGAGCGCAAAGCGCGATGCCGACTTGAAAATACAAGCACAACTACTCTCTGAATTGTACGACACGAGGCCCAATTATTACTAATTAATCGTATCAATACTGACAAGAACTCCACCGGAGCGAAAATGTCAACAGTATTGTCCATGTGTTATAAACAGTAGGGAAACATTTAGAACGAACCATTGCAGGACTAAAAGTACACGTACTTCGACGTGGGATTGGCGTAGGTGTCCAATTACAAATAGATGTAATAATCTGATAATTTGAAAATAGGATTTTGTTTGCAAAATAATTGGAATAGTAATACCATGGACCCTGCTTTACGGCCAGCCGTTCATACAGCCACCTCGTTATTACGGCCACTTAATTCTGGCCCGATCAAAAGCTCAGTGAAAGAACCCCCGTTAATACTGCTACTCCGCTAATACGGCTAGATTGTTGTGGCCCTTGGTGATCGGATTAACGGGGTTCCACGGTATGGCATACAGTCATCATGTGTTGTAAACAAAGCGCTCAGGGAGTGTAACTAATTGTCGAGAGTCGAGAGTCGAGGGTAAAATGTCGAGAGTCGAGGGTCACGTGTCGAGGGTCGAGGGTAACTTAAAAAATATATTAAAATAAAATAAAAAATAAAAAATAAAAATAAAAATAAAAATACAATTTACATGAAATAAATTGCTGAAGAAATCAAGACAGAATTTTCTTTCGCCAGCTTTTCTTTTTTTTTTTTGAGTAAAGCGTTGCGTGTCTTGGGCGGTGATACCAACAGCGCTGTCTGTACTGTCACGCAAACGTAAACTCTTACCAGAGGAAACATGCACGCTAATTTTCATTTCTCGATATTCACGCTTATTATCTCCCTTTACGACTGTAGAACATTATTATAAACCACTAACTATCTTTGTTTTCATTGTTTTCATGCCTTGTTCTAATACTCGCCAAGCAAACAAAATTAACGTAAACAT